TGCTTACGTAGGCTAATGAAAACAGTTAAACATTTTGCAAAAATAATCCATATGATAATATAAATTTTGTTGTATTAATGTTATCATAATGTTCATTATTTATATTTGTGAAATTATAATTTCATCATGAAATGAAAAACGACAGTCTGTCGATAAAATACTTGAATATTAATGAAGAAAGTATCACTGATGCTAATTTTTCTTAACTACTTGAAATACTTCATAATCAGAAATCGAAACTGACCCTGGGAGATTGATACTAGGATAGGAATTTACGTTAAATGACCAATTACTATTGTTATTTGGAGCGTATAAATCGTGACCACCTCCAAAAGTCGGGCCATAACTATTACGGCAATAAACTGCATTAACACCATTAGTAACACGTCCTAATGTTGCACTTTTGGGATTATTAAGATCGCTTAATGAAAATAAAAAGCTATCTGTTGTATTTCTATATTGACCATTTCCACTCCAGTTAAGCGGATTATAACCACCAACCAGTTTATTTGAATTAGAAACTTTTCCCACAACGATAGTTGCACCTTTGTTGTCGCATTTTTGATGAAATGTACTGGATATAAGACCATCTCTACTACTTCGGAAAATAAGATTAAAACTGTATCCAATTTTCTTTAAATCCTCGTCATTAGAAGTTCCATTATCTATCCATTTAATAAATAATAGTGCAATCCTTTTATTAATTAATACCGAGTCGATTTCGAATTTAAGACCTTCTCTGGCCGGTAATACATTATAAAGTGGCGTAGCACTAGAAACAAAATGACAACGTAGAATATCTTCTATTAAATCATCAGAAAGGAGGCGCCTGAATGGCCAAACTTTGGAAATAATTTTTTCTTTATCTATTTGGTGAAACCTGACAAGTTGAAGTAATCCATGTAATGTAGTTTTTAACGTTTCAAAATCTCCATTAGCGAATTTCTTCACATCACTCTTAAATTTTGGATGTTGAGCGATTCCCCATTTAATGACCTGTTCCCAGATAATACTTTCATCCATATCTAGATCATCACATTTAAGAATTAATTTCAATACGTCCTCTTCTAACGAAAAGAACTTATCCGAACTAAATAATAAGTCTGGACTTTGGCAAATGAAATCAAAAGAAACTTCCCTAAGTTCGCCGAATGCTTCATGACGTGTAACAATATGAAGCATTTTAACAGAATTTTGTTTTAAGAACTCGTAACAATGCTTAATTAAAAATTTTTGGACATGTTCTATAAGTTTTTCAATTCCGAGTTCATCTGTTGCGATTAAAAGTTCTAAGACTGTTGCGCCTTCAAGTGTTTGAAGATCCACGACTCCACAATAGAGAAACCTATTTAGAAATTATAAGTATGAAAGCTTTTGTAACCATGATCGTTTTAATTATTAACTACTTACTTAAGGATAATTTCAATAACCAAACTATTAATATTGGGTTTCTTTAAAATGAAGTAACCTTCTTTGGTTTTTTCTGCCCAATTTGAAGAAAACAGCCCACGAAAATAAGTAGACCGAGTGCGAAGCACTAAAGAATGTGCACGTATTTTCTTGACGTTTGGATCTTGGCCAGAAAAGATAATAACATCACAACCTTCCCTGGTTTCATATAATTTTTTGTAATCATCAGCTATATCGGCAAAAAAGGTCTTATCCATTGTCATGAAATTATGAAAAAAGAGGAAAAGATGAATTGAATATTTAAATAGATTCATCCACAACAACCAAATTAAATTATTTTCATATATTTAACTAGATTCATCCACAACAACCAAATTAAATTATTTTCATATATTTAACTATTTTAAAGAGTCAAAGTCTAGTTTAATTTATTAACGAGGTTAAAACTTCAAATTATATTCTATATACTATATGATGCACTCCATTTACGACTATTACGTATACAATAATATTCAACATTAACTTATATTATTTGAGCCTTTGAAATTGTTTATTAGTTGAATGAGTTTTGCCAGGTGAAGACCAGGAGGTAGAGTGGTGCTGACATAGTTACGTTATTAATTTAAAAAACAATTATCGTAGCTTTATTTCGTTCTAGTTTGATTATAATTTTTTTATATTATATTATCCTATCTAATTTTTCTGTTTTATTTACTCTAATAAAATTTATATAAAATTATATAATAAAATAACGGTGACTTTAAAAATTTTAAGATCCAGCTTCTAGAGTTTATTATAAAGAAGCTCGTTGCAAAGGGATTGATTAACTAGATTTTAATATTTACCTGGTGAATTAACTCGTCGAGGGTTTCATCAATCAGATGTTCAGTTAATAGTAAAGAATTTCACAAGGTAAATGACCGAATAACACACTTTATTATAGTAAAAATAGTTTTGTCAAACTTCATTGGTGAAATATGTAGTTCTATTTATTTTTCAGTTTTTTTTATATCTAATTTTAAAGATGATAGTCCTTTCGCAATGCTCAAATACATAGTTTATTAAATTCATATGAAATTTATAATGTGACAAATTTATACGCAGTATAAGATTAAGCTCGGGAAAATTAACATTGAGTTCAAGCTCCCGAAGTAAACGTGACGATATGCTCATTTATTATAATCAACCAAAATAAAAATTGCAATTTATACTTGAACGATTCATAATTTATCAAATGTCGTCGCCGCTAGGTTTAGGTCTTCATTTATATTTAATTGTCGTACGAAACGAAGAAATTATTGGCAGAATAGTAAAATTCGTTACTGGAAAAAATGCTATAAAATATAATTCGTTGATGACAAAGTTACTTGAGTGATCTTTTTTAATACTCAAATTAATTGTAAATTTTAACATCAACCTAGGTGCG